GTCATGATTCATGCAGCTATTATTTCATCCAAATGAAAAATGGAGAACAGAGAAGCAGATCATGGATTGTCTACAGTGAAAAGACAGACTGTGTTATTTACTTTTGCTGTCGCATGAAAAGTCAGCATCAGAGTACGAAATATTGAGAGGAAAACAAAAAGAAAGGGGACAAAACGTAGAACAAATAATGTATGTCTATTCTATAAAAATGTCTGTATCTGTATAATGAGGTCTGTTTTATGTGTTGTTTTCTCAATTCAGAGGGCCCCATGCCTGTCTTTGCCTAGGGCCCCAAATTTGCTAATTCTGCCCCTGCCTGTAAGCTTTCAGTTTGGATGATAGACCTTAAAATTGGCCCCAGACATAAGTTTATTTAAGGGAAACAAAGTAACTAAGGTTGAATCCAAATGCAAAGCCCACGTTTTTAGATGTTTATTTACACAAACGATGAAAAACCTTTGTTGTCGTCTCGGTCCAGCACCCATTTCACCCAGTGAAATATTTGTTAGTTTGTGGTCGTGACAAACTCACAGGGACCTGCGGCGAGGATCCCTTAACAAAGAAGCGTGTTTTTAACTGCTCTCTGCGTTCCAACAGGCCATCCGAGTCCTGGGTCTCCTCGGCGCTTTGGATCCCTACAAGCACAAAGTGAACATCGGCATGATCGACCAATCACGGGACGCCTCGGCTGTCAGCCTCTCCGAATCAAAGTCCAACCAGGACTCCGGTAGGTCTGAGCTCCGTTACCGACGCACGGAGGGGTTCCTCTCACCAAGAGCCACACTGTGGCCTAAATAAGGTTTTTATTTGCATTCCCAGAAATTTACAGCAGTATCGGATTTTCATTGCAAAGCTGGAAATATGATGAAAGCTCCTTTTAAACCTCAAATCAAACCATTTCTTTGCTATATTTACAGTCTGTCTGTCAGTCTGGTGGATATTTGTTCACCATCTGTGCAGACCTCATACGTCTTGGGCTACTTCTATTTGTCGCAACACAAAGGACGTGTTTGACCCAATTTCAGTGAGAGAAAAACTATAAGAAAATGCTTTTATTATAAATACATAAGCTTATTGTTTTAATTTTAAATATTCTTCCAATAAAGACTACATTTCTCACTGACTTATTATAGTCCCGTTGGCTTGTTAAACAACAATAACTTTTTTTGATTAAAAGGGAATGGCCTACTAATCAATTTAAATATTCTTTCTTTAAACTTTACAAAAGAGAAATAATGACTAACTGCTGATAAAAAGAAAAATATTTAGTGTCTTTTCACATTTTTCAGATGATAAATTAAATAGAAAGATTAGACGGAGTAAATAACAGCTAATGGTTTATATGGAAAAGTAGCCCCCCCACTGTTAGTTAAGACAGACAGTAACTGATTGGACATTTTGTGTTTCATATTTAGAAGTACAGATTATGTTGACCATCATCTATCTGTTTGGAAACTGTTGGAAAGCAATTTTTAAAGCTTTGAGATTGCAGCGGACTAACACCAAGAACTACATCTATGATTCAGCAATGAGAACGGACAGAAATGGCCGCTTTGTGATCATTACAACATGATAATCAATGCTGGCCTGTAAACCAGCAAATGTCTGTCAAAAACAAAACAAACAAAAATCCATCCTGACACCCTTCAACAACTAAAGAGAGTGAAGGTTTGTGCTAACATGTGTCTGACCGTCCGCCCTAATCCCTAAATCCTTCACTATATAGAGCAGGGACTATATGCTGGACTTTATAGTGAACTCAGTTAACTGACGGTTCGAACAGATGATCACTACTTTTCACGTAACTCTGCCTTCCCGCTTGGTACCTGCGACACCATAGCAAATCCCATAATGCTTTGCGAGGAGAAATCTGGGATATATCTGCTCGTCCAGTGACTATGGATGATCATTACTTTTCAAGGTGCATTGTGGGAAATTTTAGTCCCCTACTTTTTCATTCACGAGAGACATCACTATATATGGCGTAACCACTATATAGTGATTAGTGCGGATGTTTGAACACAGTCCTATTAAAAGTCTGGTGGTGAATCTGAATGCGGTATTTTGAGATGATCTTTAATAGGCATTCATGGTTAAAAATTCTCCATCATGGCTGAACTAAAGCAGTTCTTAGAAAAGTGCTGGTAGGGTTTAGGGGTCCAGGCAGCGTTGGGTTGCCTGTTTGAGCTTTTCCCCTTTAACCCTTTATAGAGAACTCAATGAAATACTTTGAAAATCAAAATTTAAAGCCAAAAGTGTTATTGGAATCCAGGACAAGACCTTATTACCTTTATAAGATTAAAAAAATCTGGATATTTTGATGGCAAAAATTAATGTCAGTGTAATAACAGGAAACGCCAACTTGCTTGAATATATTAAGAAAAATAACAAAAGTGCTTCTATAAGAAATTCATGAAAAACACTCTGAGAATAAAAGAAACATATATTTTTTGGTACAACATAACCTTAGAGGCATTCATGCTGATACTGTCACTTCCATTTTTTAACTTTTTACCTTTTTTTCTTAACTTGTTAACTTTTTCCCCCCTAAACTTAATTTACTGTGGGTAATATATCATTCAATGGCTCATCTATTTGGTCAAATGCCAAAATAAGATGTCCAGCCATGTAGCAGGATCTTTGCTGAATGGCTGGATATAGATCTTGTGCTTCTAGACCTCACTGTGGGGCGGGGAGGCTCCATTTCTAAGCCGTATGCAAGTGATCAAAAACGCTAACTTGCCCTATAAAGGGTTAATAAATGGAACCGTCTCATAAAAAAAGATGCTATTAATCTTTATGTGATGTGTTTTTTTTTTTTTTCTTCTAAACTCAGAACATTTTAAATAATTCAGATCTGACTTAAGCGTTGGATCAGTTCGTCACTTTAACTGATACTTTTTCACCAAATCGAAGCATTTCTAATGGGTCCCTCTGGAAACCTGCAGAATCCAGATGTGCATTATAGATGTATGCATGTTATACTTTAGATCTAACTGCGTCCTGCAGAAAATGACAGATGCAGTCATTGAATGCAAAGACGAGATAAAAATAGTTCTACTTATTCATCCTGTGTGCAGTTAAATCATCCCGGAGGAACACTTTTGATTAGATGACATCACAGAGCACAGCAGGACTCGAAATAAAAGACTGTGATTTCCATCCATCTGTTTTTTTAGAGATGAAGGACCAGACTGTGTGAAACAAATATCAAACCAGAGACACTGGTTTTTAGGGGTCCAACCAATGTGGGGGGTTCATCTCATAAATAACAGCTGAACTCTTCACATTGCTTCAGGAGGATTAGCTGCCTTCACTAACAGGATGACGTCTTAAACCATATCTTGAAAACTCACGATAATGACAGCTGAAAATGGTCCATCTGTCTCCGGTCATTTGAAACCAGGCTGCGGGCCTCCTCTTCTCAGATCCACTCATATGTCTCCAAGTATGACCTTGGACAGTATAGTAATGGCTTTCCCAGTTTGTTCTAGAACTAAATGGACTGTAACCAGAAAAGGAGGTAGTATATCTGTTGGCGGGTTTGTCGGGGTCGCCGTCTGGGGCACGGGCGTTTTGGATAGCACCGGCCTGCGTGCGAGAAGACACAGAGTATAAATGTTGCCTCACCTGATTTTAAATGACACTCCTCACATCAAAACGAAGCATTAGAGTCATAAAACTGATGAAATGCTGCCTTCTTACTGGGTCGCGGTGCTGTTTTATGTTCGTTATTAAGGCGCTGGGACAATTCATTTTTCTTCTACAGCTGAAGGCTAAATTATTAAACTGTTGCCTTACTGTTCCCAGTCTCCTTGGTGAGCTGTAAAGCTTGAGATATTTTAACATCACGCGCATCTGTTTGTCTTTACTGGTTTGAAATACTGAAAAGAAAAGCTACTGATTTTAGACTGAAGAGAGACGGCTGTGCTGTAGAATATCAGACTGGATTTCTAACATTTGCATTTTTAGCTTTAAAACTCTGAGACATAATATCTTAACAATGATATTCTGTTTTTCTGAAACAAAAAGTCGATTTTTGCTCTAAATGTTTTGTGGCTTAAGTTAGAAATGAGCAGTAACATTATCTAACGTCTCCTACAACCTGGAATTGTTGGAAAATCAGGAATTTCACCTTTTTTTTTTTTTATTTAATGGTAACTCTGGTGCTATTGTTGTGCAATGTGGAAGCATATCAAAAAGTGAATTTATAATTTAAGTATTTTGATTAAAAATCATCAAAAATGGAAAAACCCACAACCGGATTATCACATTGGATCAATAAAAAATAGTTTTATGATCTAAGTGTTGATTTACTGCTGACTTGACGCTGCCCCCGATCCTCACCATGGAGGCCGTGCAGCTCCACCTGACCAGCTATTCTGTTTTTGTGGCTCCAACTCCATTTTCTTGACATTCATGTAATAATACACCGTTCATAAAGTTAATCAAAAGCCCTAATAAATATAAGCATTGAATAAAAAAGAAAAAAAATAAGAAAAATACCTGAACTCTGTTACCTCTGATAGATCCAAAGAAAATAAAAAGATGATCAGATAAGAGCAGGCGCATGAAACGACTGTTTTATTGTTCTATTGCAAGCCTACAAGTACACTACTATAGCTGGATCATGGTTAAAGAAGCTAGCTGTTCAGAGTACGGTATGATGGCGTGATAATTTAAAGGGTGAGTGCAAGGAATCAAAGTGGGACAGAGATACGTTCACAGCAGACGAGTATAATTGCAGATGATTGTACATAAAAGCGGGTTTAAGGTTTATTTTGGGGGGGAGCGTAGAGAAGGTGTAGACTTGGTCTGATACTCTACTTGTAGACCGACCCAACTGCTTCTAATGCCTGGTTCTAGTCTAAAGACAGACATTTGGGATTATTGGGTCAAACATCTGCAGGTGTTGGATCACTGGGTTTTACTAAAGGTCTGGTTATAGTCCCTCAGCAGTGTGGCAGATATTTTTGATTTATGCCCAATTTTGAAGGGTGGTCTGCGCTATGTTATGCACCGTCACAACGCAAGAGGGACAATCAGGAACTAGCTGAGGGTCAAGATACGGCCGAGGCGGTGAGGAAGTGGAAAAACGCTAGGGAAAAGTTTGTGTGAGGGTGAAAGAGAGCGGGGATCCAGGTGGAAAAAGGGTCCCAGCATTCTCGCGCAACTCGCTCTTCTAGCTGAGGCGTTTTCCACAATGGCGGTCATACAGACAAAGCAAGCCGGTAAGTTACCAAACAGGAAATATGCATAGTGTAGAGTGGATGTAGATTTAACTAATCAGAGGCCTCCTCTCTGCAGTCCCCTACAATTTAGGAGAGTTGCACCAGAGTGTCTGCAGACGGGGTGGGCGCTACCTCTGCATTTACTGCGACACACATGCAGACGATCTGGTTTCTGAGTATAAATCAGCCTTAAGTCTTGAGTCTACGAGAAAATCCTTCCAGCTGTTTTCCTTTAGGGGTGTCCCACCACAGCTGTTTCATTTCTAATATTGCAGCTTTGAGTATCGACCAGTACTGACATTGCAATGATACGATCATACATACTTTAATTTCGAGGTAAAACAATTAATCAGACCGAATGTCATTAATTGATTATTGAAATAATTGTTGATTAATAATTAACTGGAGAATAAAGCTTTTAAAACATGCTGTTAGCTGACAGAGAAACCCACTTATAGCAGGAATTATTAAAAATTGTACAAAAATATATAAACATTTTGCATTTAAGATAAAAAATTTTTTTTTTGTCTGTAAATAAGCTCTATCCAGAACTCCTCAAGTGGAAAAGTTTTAATTTCGTAAAAAATCTTCCTGAAGGAACCTTTGGCTGTCCGATCATTAATTGATTAATCGAAAAAATAATCAACAGATGAATTGATTTGGAAGATAATGTTTAGTTGCAGCCCTACTTTAACTACTTATTTAGCACTGTGGCGTACTAAAAGAAGCTTGATCAAGTGATTTTATTTCCAGCGGAGAACATAAGTATACAACAATTGGTATGAAAACAACTCATCCATTTATTATTAACTGTTGGGTCACAGAAACAGAAGTGGAGTGATTCTAGCATGCTAATATCAGAGATAAGACATTATTTTTGTGGGATTCCTTCATATATATATATATATATATATATATATATTGTTTTTTTTTTTTTCTGTCAGTATCACTAGAATGAACAGAAATTACATTTGATCTCCCCTCCAGCGGATTGCAGCACCAGTGAAATGCTTGTGAACATGGGCAACCTGCCCCTCGATGAGTTCTACCCCGCGGTGGCGATCGTCACCTTGATGCGAATCCTGAGGGACCCGTCGCTCTCCAACCACCACACCATGGTGGTCCAGGCCGTCACCTTCATATTCAAGTCTCTGGGCCTCAAGTGCGTCCAGTTCCTGCCGCAGGTCATGCCCACGTTCCTCAACGTCATCCGGGTTTGTGATGCCAGCATCCGAGAGGTGAGTGTGAGATCAGATGGTGACTCTTGGCTTTAAACCAATCAGGTGTAACAGTTTACTGCTTGTGCTCCTACAGTTCCTCTTCCAGCAAATGGGAATGGTCGTCTCCTTTGTGAAGATTCACATCCGCCCATACATGGACGACATCTTCACCCTCATCAGAGTGAGTAATTTTGTCAACAGTTTTTTTTATTTCTCCCTCCGTTATGTAACCCTTCCCTTTTCCTGTCAGCCGGACAAACAGCTGTTGGCTATTAATTACATCCAGCTGTGCTTCCTACTGTCGTCATTAGCAGGATTTGAGCACATGTGGTGCTGAACCAACAAACACCATGGAAGAAGCTGAACTTTTGCATTTAGATGTTTAATCCAGCGTTCTGTTCAGATTTAAACTCTCTTCTACTGCTTCTCTCTCCTCCGTTTGTTTCCCTTCTCCGTTACCAACTAATTCAAGCGGTAACCATAGACGACTTGTGGTTTTCACCCCCATTATGTGATATAGAACGACTGCTAAAGCCATTGTTCCCTCACTTGTACAAATACACTTGTCTAGCACATAATCATAAAGGAAAATACGTCCCCCCGTATCAGAGTCTCAGTAACTCTGTAGGCGAAGCCTCCTCTGTGGAGGTAACTCCTTCTGATGGAAAGTAATTGGAGGAACTAAACCGCTGTGCTTTCTGTCCCAATGAGTTAATAAAGGGCAGGAGAAACAAAGAATCTATTCATTAATGCTGCAGTTCTGCCTCTGCATCCAGATGAGGGGGCTGCTATAGCGATTCAGGTTGTGCTGCCACAGGCAGGCCAGCTCTCGCAGCAGAAGCCCACCAGCTGATTGACACACCTCTATGATTTCCAGCCTTCCAGTTTTAACAGACAATCCTTTTATTTTTAAATGTACAGTGTGCCTAGATTTTCAAACACAATATCATAAACAACCCAGAGACAAAGTATCAGTTCCACCTGACAGGAAACCGTCTCCTTTTCTTGCCATCTAATCTTCCTCTTTCCTCCTGGCATCTGGAAGCTTTGGGCTTCCAAAGAAAATTTAGTCCAGACTTTTCCCTCCTATTTGGATCATCAATGGAAGCACATTGTGACCCAGTTTTGTGAAAGCCTTTGATTTTAATTTATTAATGATTAGATAATCAATAATTAAAAGTTTTTGTTACAGCCCTAACAGTAATATCCCTCCCACTGTTTTTATTTTCATTAAATTTTTATTATGTCCCAGGGGATCATGAATCAGTCCCACTTCTTCATATTAGGGCTGTTTCACTGTTTGAGCAAACGGCATCTTGGACCCAGATAGGACTGGTAATTATGACTTTAAAATCACAATATTTTATGGTTCAATCATGATAACAATAAAAAGACGATAAAAACAATTAATCTTAAGTAACTGTATAGCTGTGACTGCAGGCCACAGCAATCATAGCTCTAAAACACTATATACAAATTAAAAATAAACTTGGGACACAAATGCATAAAGAAACGTGATTTTCACACCAGAGAAAAATTTTGGTTCCAGTGTCATTTTTGACTTGATATAGCATTTAAAAAAAAATTTTTTTTTTTTAATTTTACACAAAACACTCAAGATAAAACTCAATCATAATACAATACAATGTACGTTTTTTATTTTTTATTCACCACTTCCCCCGAACACAAAGAATAATGGTGGCCTGTGTAAATGTGATATATGTATAAATACACAAAAATTCAGAAAAAAAAGGATGTTACCACCAAGATGGTGGTTACATGACAAAAAATAAAAACAAAACAAAATTACTTTTCCAATTTTATGAATTAATTTACATGTGGGTACAAAAATACTGCATTAAATAAAATAAAAAACAATAGAATAAAAAACAAAAATTAAAACAATAGATAAAATATCAATGGCAAAAAAAAAAATTTATAAAAATTTTGGCCAGCTTAGGAAGGACCTGTTTGTAAAAAGAAGCGCTACCGCAGGTCGTTCATCACTTCTACCACCAGACTCCACAATGTGAAACTACAATAGCAAAATGCACAATGTATAATGTGCAATTACTATCTGATAGCCTGTGCAATAACCCTTTTCTCTATATTTCACACCCAGTGCAATAACTATATATATATATATATATATATATATCCATCTATATAAATACCCATGTAAATAACCTGTGCAATAACCTTGTATAATGATCCTGCTATTAAAAAAAACAAAAAAACAAAACAAAACTTCAACACCTTTGGCACCTTCTTCTCATTTTTCACTTTTTGAGCTGGTTTAACGAGTACATTTCTCCACTGTGAGATCGATAAAGTCAATCAATCAATCAATCAATCAATCAATCAATCAATCAATCAATCAATCAATCAATCAATCAATCAATCAATCAATCAATCAATCAATCAATCAATCAATCAATCAATCAATCAATCAATCAATCAATCAATCAATCAATCAATCAATCAATCAATCAAGGAATGTTATGACAGGGTAAAATATGAATATAATCAAAAAAGGGCTGCCATACCTTTAAAGACCTGCCTAAGGTAATTTTTTTCAAGCCCACTGAAAGGAAGAACATCTCTGATCCAAGTCTCATACAGCAGAGGGGATGGGGAGTTTCAACCCGATAGTATTCTGCGTCTCGCCAGTAACGTAATAAAAGCTACAAAATCTTTTTTTAAACTTGGGTAACAGCACTCTGTCAGGAGTCAATCCAAATAAGGCAAGCAACGGATCCAAATGGAAAGTTAATTAAAATGTATTGATAAGTTTGTGAAAATATGAATCCAATACTGTTGAAGAGATGGGCATGTCCAAAACGTGTACTAAACTGGCAGGAGTCTGATGACACCGGCCACAATCAGAAGTCACATTTGGATACATTTGGGAAAGTCTGAGTTTAATCCAGTGAGTACGATGAAAGATCTTACATTGTATTTAACCCATGCATTGCACACAGTAAGTAACTATGTACCTGACCCGGGATTTTAACCGTTGATAAAGAGGAGTCACGGAAATCTTTAATTCTTACATATAAAAAAGATTATAAAACTATTTCAATACCAAAGTTAGGTGGCTTGGATGGAAATTGAGAAAATGTTTTCTTTAATATAACTTCAAACCTGTAAGTAACAAAAGAAGTTACTTTTCAGGAGGTCAAATTTGGATGAAAGTTGATGGGAAGAGGTAAACATGTTATCAATGTAAAGATTACTGAATGACTTCATGCCAAGATTTGCCCAGAGATAGGTTAAAGATGGGAGCGTAGCTTGATTGGAGCTTGAAATGGCGCCTAAATTGGTACCAGGTTTTGAGCGTAATTGTATTGCTGTTATAAAAGTCTTTGCCTGACAGTGGCTTAGGTGCATATATTGGAGTTGACAGGGTACAGATGACACATTAAGAGGCCTCAAACGCTACCAGGACTGTTGAGCACCCATGCTTCTTGCCTGTAACCAGTGACGAAAAATAAGAATATTGCATACCCAGTGATAAAACATGAAGTTTGATATGGCAATACCACCTGTACTTTTAAGCCTCTGAAGATGCACCTTGTGGATTCTGGGTGTTTTGTCACTCCAAATAAACCCACAGACAATCCCATCCAATTTGCGAAAAAAAGGAGACAGGAATAAAAAAAAAAGGGAATACAATTAAAGTGGAACGAGAACTTCGGAAGGAAGTTGGTTCTGACAATGTTAATACGTCCTGCTACGACAAATGAAGCAGTAACCACCTGTCTAAATCATGGTGGACCTTCTCCAAAAGGGGAGTAAAATTAAATTAACTTAACTCCTAAATACTTAAAACGGTCTGAGACTAGTTTAGATGGAAAAGCAGTGAGAGGGTGTTGACGAGCAGCACAATTCAGAGGAAAAGATCACTTTTGCAAAGACTTAGCTTATAGCCACACATGCTACCAAATTGGTGTAGCATGGATAAAAGAGTGGGAACTGAAACGTCTGGTTTGGAAACGTAAAGAAGCACGTCGTCTGCATAAAGACTGACCCTCTGCTCAATGTCATTTCTCATCACCTCGATCTAGTAGTTCAGCTTCAGCACATTTCGTTGTCATGCATCGTCATTACCAGGAAGGTGATTTCCATCTTGTCAGTGAGGCTTTAAAATCTGCCTATTAAACTCTGGACTATTTATTTGTGTATTTTACAAAACCAGATATGCTGCACATGAATGTTTTTGAATCAATACCAATGGTTGTTTATTGCTGTGCAGGAGTACTGGACACCAAACAACCCCATGCAGAACACCATCATCCTCCTCATTGAGCAGATCGTGGTGGCGCTGGGTGGGGAGTTCAAGCTCTACCTGCCTCAGCTCATCCCACATATGCTGCGTGTCTTCATGCACGATAACAGCACCGGGCGCAGCGTCACCATCAAGGTAAGAGACCCATCTTTTCCTGGTATGCATCTGGTATTGACCTCCTACTTTGATCTTGTTCCCTGCAAACAGGCTGGTTTGGATCGATTAAACAGCTTGAACATACTGAGAGTTTATGGAAATTACCAAATATATTCTTTTTTTTCTTTAAGTGCTCCACAGCCCTCAGAATTCAGAAGAAATGAATTCATTTAGTTTTCATTTGTGCTTTTGACTCTTTCAGACTCTGTGGTGTTATAATAGAGCCTTTTGTTTTCTTGCTCCATTATGTGGACCGTGGGCAGTCTTTTTCTCATTTTATACAACCAGAGGTTTAATCAGATTATGTCTCCAGCTTTGGCTTCTGATTAAACAGCAATGAAACAATGTAATACTGCTTAGATACGCATGGTGACTGATAAATAAAAACATCCTGTTAGTTTCCATGTTTGTTTCCATCACCATCTGTGAATCCCCTGGTTTACAATGCTTCTTTTTGATCTGCATCTTTTACTTTCTATTATTTACCACGTGTTTGACGTCTGCTGCCAGTGCAACCTCTGAGAGTTATATGCAATAAAAGCTTCATGTTTTGGTACTTATTATGATAATAAAGCATTTAAAAAAGTGTCTATAGAAGTACATCTGTTGCTTTGAAAAATTATGTTTTGGGAAATTCTGAATGTTGCTTTTGCTTTTCATTGGCATAATCCATCAGAGCTATCTTTATTTTTATTTCCATCCTGACAATAAAGAATATGAGGACCCTCTCCTCCTGCTACCGTAAGAAATTGTTCTTATTTAGTCAATTTTGGTTACTTTTATTTCTACTTCCAATCCACTCCGGTGGGATTCAGTAGAACGAAAAGGTTTAATTGTCGCCTCTTACTGGAAACCAGCTCATTGAATCTGAGCTTCAATTTGCTGCTCATCAGGAGAAAACATGGGGCCACTGTAGGGGTGTGGAAAAAAACAGTTTTGGCAATATATCGTGATTTTTTTGCTGGCTGATATAATATTGATCTTTCTGTTCCTAGTACCGATAAAAAACAAAACAAAAACATTTTTACATAAAACTAAGGGGAAATGGGCTACCTATGTACCACCACTCTGGCAGATTGTGCTGTGGAGCCCCTTTGCTGTGCGGCGCTGCACCGTATCTGTAGTTGAGGCAGTCCCAGTGGAAGGCGTGGACTGACTCAAACCCCAAGCCTCATGGAAACCAAAATAACTGAACGATCAATTTCATCTGAGGAACATATACAGAGGTTGCTTTTTTATCTATACATTTAATTTTTATAGCAAATAAATTATCACAATGTACGATGATATTGCAATATAGTGATAATATCATATCGTAAACATAGTATTGTGACACAGATCGCAACTGTTGGGTTCAAAAATGTAGGTTTGTAAAAGAAGGACTGAATACACAGAGAGGGATTTTCAACAACAGCTTCCTGCAGGAGGGGAGAAAGAGCCAAACCCAACACTCCAACACTCTCTCTCCCACCCCCCTCCTTGCAATGCCTTATTTATTAACAGAACATAACACATGGTTACAAAAGAGAGTATTGTTCTGACAGGACAGTTGATCAGGTCATAAGACAGGATGCTCTCCTCTGACTGAATCACAAGGCAGAGTGGTCTCTTGACTGAATCATGAGACATAGTGAAGCATCTCATTTCTACAATGTTTATAAGCACACACAATTTTATAATCATTATTGAATAAACCTAACAGCAACCCCCATGCCATTACTCACCCCTAGGCAACAGTGGAGAGAAACAACTTGGATTCAACAGATAGAAGCCTTAAAGTCGTAGTGTAATAATATTTAAATGTCAAATCATTCTGGCTTAAACATGTATATAAATGAACTCTTTATCAGACCATATTGTCCCAAAATTTAGAACATTTCTATTCGGAATAAAAAAAAAAAAATCCTGTCTTAAAATCTATGTTTTTTTTCCTTTATCTTATACAGGCCAGTTAGTTAAACGTCAGCTTGTACACCTAAATTCGGCCAAACATTTATCAACGGTCATCTGTCAAATTTTTTCGGTCATAGCATCTTGATTCATATGTCGCAGGTAATATACGCAACGGTTGAAATAAGGATAATTTCCTTTACCGTTGAGTTCCGTGCCAGTGTTCACAGGGATGGACGTCTGTGTCTTCGGCAGGCGTAGAGCTAACAGAACTGGCAGCGTTGTGAGGCAAGGGCTCAAACATGTACGGCTG